AAGTCGACTCCTCTGTTAGACTGTTACAGTGCAACAACAATGCAAAATACCACAAGGCAACAACAACAAGGCAGTCTAATAAAAGCAAAATAACATAGATTGTCTCAATTCACTAAATTCAACTTAAATAAGAATTTTTGGAAGACGCTCAAGACAAGCCCTAACATGCTTCATCAATTGTGTTGGCATTGCTATCATCAGTAATAGGTAAGCTTTCAGTTGAACTAACATCACTTACTCTACTTTCATCCGCCATCTACACAAAATTAAAACAAATATAAACACAAATTGTTAAAACCAAAATACTACATAGAACACTACAAGCAAAACACTACAAGGGCAAATGATCGTGTAATTAGCAGAGAGCAGCCTAGTACAAGAACAAATCACACATCATAAGGAAAAACTATTTGGAGTAAATGGCCAAATTGAATCTATGACATTCCTTTTATAGTGACAACTCATTCAATAAGCTTTAAAGGAGAAGGTAAAAGGTCATGAAACATAAAATTGGCATTATCATTGACATACTTGAAAGCAAATATCAAACAAGAAGATAGAAACAGAGTGACAATGAATGATTTTTCTCCTTCGTAGTAATCATTTCTAGACAGTTTAACATCCTAATCAGGAAAACTCTAATTTGACTGCCAATTCCAGTTTACTAATGACATATATCAATACATACCAAGGTTGTAAGCAACAAGAACAAAGAAATTGAAACAAACGGCTTAGTTAAAAAGCAACTTAACTCAGAAATGTGATTATAACTCGTATGAATGATGATCAACAATGAAGAATGGATAAGTTATGAACATGAATGAAGGTCAACAATGAGCAAACAAGCAATCGTTGAGGAGAGGAGTCGCCGAGGTCGTGAAACTATTGTAGTCGTGAGTCGTAACTCGTGAATCCGCAACAACCAAGCAAACTAGCAAAGTTGAATTTTTTGACCTAAGTTAGAAAATTGAAAGGGAAATGGTTTTTTTGATACTGCCCGTAGGCGTAGCTTTTCCTTTTCTTGTCTGCCTCTAAGCCTAAGGGATTAGGGAATTAAGGGTTTTGAACTTTTGGGGTGTGAGTTTAAGGTTATTGGGCTAAAAAATAAAAATAAAGTTGGGCTTGGACTAAAATATTTCGGTATTTCGGTATACCAAAATATCAAAAACCCAATACCGTATACCATACTGAAATACAAAAATACTGTAATTTTTGTACCGAAATAAATCAAAATATCAAAAAAACCGAAATACCAAATTAATTTGGTTCGATTCAGAATTCAGTTTTTCGGATTTTATGCCCATCCCTAGCAGGTGTAGGACGGATATGGGGTTTGGATCGGAGAGCCGGGGGCAGTGGAGGAGGAACAAATTGACCACTAGATTCGCTACTCTTGGATTTTCCCTTATTTTTACCAAAACGCTTTTTTAAGGAAGCCATCTTAATTAATCAAGTAATAGAAAATAAACAAAACAAACAAAACAATAATATTAAAACTTAAGAGTTGGAACGAGTTTAANGGGGAGGGGGGTGTGTGTTAAATGACTATTTTGTTAATAGCCAACGGCCAGATTTTAAATTCCCCAATGGATAAATTTATTTTTTGAAATTTGACCGTTGGACCGTTTGGCCCGCCAGGGACTTGTCCGGTCCCAGCGGTCCCATCTGTAGAACCGGCCCGGAAGCCCGGACCAGGCCCACGAATACCGGTCTTACTGGTCCCGACCCGTTTGGGATCGGGACCGGACCCGACCCGCTTGCCACCCTTATGTCGGAGTAATAATTCAAAGTTTGAGACTCAATACCCGTAATTCCGTGTTCAGAGTTCTAAGTATAATGATGTGTAATTTATAAAATAAAATTTAATAATGAATGATTTATTGTTATTGTGTATTGTGTATTTGTCGAGGTAAATTTGGATTAATTGCGTCTCAAAATATATATATCAAATGTTGGTGAGAAACCAAAAACAAGAAATTAATTTTAAATATTTTTTAAATTTGAAGTCCTTAAAAGAAGCCAGTTTTCGTTATTTTACCCCTAATGGCCCGTTGTGATTTAGAAAAAGATTAATCATTTCTCTTTCCTTTTTTAATCTTGATTTTTTATTGTCCACTTGGATTGATCACTAATGTGTGATATTTGGTTGCTTTTCAATGCTAGTTTACCTTAGTTTTGTGCATAGGTTTAAAAATTAAACGTGACATTCATTAGACAAATATTTTGCACTATGCATAAATTCTTAAGAATCATTATATTATGTCAACTTCATATCATTACCATATACAACATTAAGACTTCAAGAGTTTTATTTTTATTTGAAAAAACTAATTGGACGAGTGATATAAAGATGTGTAGACTCGCAAAAATTAAGTGTGATTTCGCGGTGTATGTAAGGTAACGTTTTTCTCGTTAGCGCTGCGCATTCTTTGAGATTTCATTACTATAGCGCACATATAAATATCTATTTTTTTTCTCATTTCTACAATTAGTAACTAAAAGCTAAGATAATTGCGTATATAACACTATGCAGCTCAAAAGTTACCACCTAGAAAAACATTTTTAGCACATGACCAGTAATAAAAGGTTATTAGACATAGCAGATTAAGCAGTAACATTTTTTAAGAATATTGAATAACCACCTCAAACTTCTTCCTCAGCTTAGTTGCTGCATAACTTACAGTTTCTCTATTTTAAGAATATTGAATAGCCACCTCAAGTTGATAACTGATAGCGTTTTATTCCAGAGAAATATACATTTTTAGCGGTTTCCAAAAGTAAATGCCACTAAAATAGAGTATATTTTTTGTACATATATATTTTATGTACTATAATATACATATTTTATATATTTTTCGACTAGTAAATATAATTAGTTTCGGTCGACGGATCAAATTTATATGTTGCCCTTTGTTCTATTTCAGTGGATAGTTTAGGTGTCAGAGAATTGGTCCAATTTATATTTGGGCTTTTTTCGAGTGCTAGATTAATTGGATTAATTGGGGAGTTTAGGACTTGTTTAAAGAGAAATTTTCAAAAACCATTGTTGTTTTGTGGCTATTAACTTCTTATTGCTATCATATACATAATTACTTCCTATACCTACTATTCAGCTGTTACGGTATTGTATTCGTTGTATTCGCGCGACTGTATTTATGAATACAATAGCAAAAACGCCTAAAATCAGGACAGTCCAGCTGTACGCGCATGTATTCACATGTATTCGCGCGGCTGTATTCATGAATACATCAGCAAAAAGCACCTAAAATCAGGGTAGTCCAGCTGCACACGCATGTATTCACATGTATTCGCGCTGCTATATTCATGAATACAACATCAAAAAGCGTCTAAAATCAGGGCAGTCCAGCTGTACGCGTATGTATTCAAATGTATTCGCGTCATGTATTCATGAATACAATACCGACAATCACCTTAAAAATAGGTATGTCCAGCTGTCTAATAACGGAAATAATATCAATTACCATGATACGCTCCTAATATAACTCAACAAAATCAATTCTTACATGCCTCATTATCAACCAATTAATTAGAATGATTTTTCAGTTGTATTTAACTTTAGTATTTTGTGTGTTTAAATATATTTTTTTTTACTGTTGCATTCATTAGATTCAATATTTGTATTTAATGTATTCGCTATTTTATATTTAGTGCATTCAAATGAATTTGTATTAGCAGCATTTTAGTTATTCCTAATACATGTTATTACTGATGTATTCAGTATATTTCATTAGTTATATTCACTGTAATTCTATTTGTATTCAGTATATTTTATTGTATTTTACTTTATTTTAAAATTAAATGTATTCACTATTTATATTCTGTTCTATTTTAATGTTTGTATTCAGTAAAAATAATTTTTTATACAAAAATACAATATATTTGAGTGAATTTCTATATAATACAATACGTTTGTATCATTGTATGGACTAAATAGCAAAGAAGAGAAGAAAGTTCTCCGGATATGGCGTTTTCCGGCCAAGTACATTGTATTAAAACTAAAAATGGAGACGAACAAAAAACCCCGGCCCTCAAATCTTCTCTGGCATAAAAAATATTGTAGTATCCGTGTAGAGGAATCCATTGCAATAACGGGCGTAGAGAAAGTCGCAGTCTCTTTCTTTACAAATCCATTGCAAATATCTGGTGTAGAAACTAAGCAGTACAAATCCATTACAATATCCGGCGTACAAACTATGCAGGTTTTCTGCTCGAAAAGAGAGAGAAGGAAGAGAGAGAAAGAAGAAAAAATATGTTGAAATTTTGAGAGAGAATCGTGTGTTAATTGAAAGAAAGAGAGAGAAAGAAGAAAAAATATGTTGAAATTTTGAGAGAGAATCGTGTGTTAATTGAAAGAAAGAGAGAGAAAGAAAAAGAAATCTAAGAGAGAATCTTGTGTTAATTGAAAGAAAGAGAGAGGAAAAACATAAATAACATATTTCATATCTCAATGGTAGTATATACCATAAATACTTATTTTGCTATAAAATATAAAAGGTAGTTATAGATAATAATATTTTAAAGTAATTTTAATTTATAATAAATAAGGTGTATACCTTTTGTTATAGGAGTCGAAATTTCCTTGTTTAAAACATAGCTAGCGCTTCCTAGTTATATTTGTACTAACTTTTAAGCTGTGACTATATTTTAAACTAGATAGTGATATTTCATATTCTTTTTTGTGGGGCGGTGCTTTAAAGCAGTTATAAGTAATTAAATTTAAATTGACATTCATTTCATGATAAGGCAGTTCATAATTTCATATCAAAGGTAGACGGGCGCTACGATTGGAAGGTTTCAACATACAGTACATTTTGCATTTTTCTAGCTTGGCAATCATAAAAACAATTTTCTTTCTATGTGAAGCAATCAACTCTCCATGTGCATAAAAAAGTTCGTACATGAAGTGTGAATACCCTTTCTTTGTTCAGTAAGGTGCAAAAGACCAAAGGCATACCAATGCTTTTAGCTATAGAGAAAACTAAAAATCTAGTATTCGTTTTATATTTACTAATACTAATATATTCAAAGATTTACATCAAAAGTACAAAAAATAAAGCAAGATATTCAGATGTTGAAGTAAAGTTTTGCCACCATCAAAGCGTCTTCTATCTCTCCTTTCTCAACGGATTAATCTTAGACAAACCTAAGCTATCGTGTGCTTCAGTTTGCTTCTTAGCATATACGACTTGTTTAAGAATTTCTCCCTCAGTTCATACCCTTCTAGGAAAGTCATAAGCTTTTTTGTCAATAGAATAACTCATCTAGAGCTTTAACATAACATATTTAATTACTCAAATACGCGGAGAAAATATGACCAATATCTTGACATAAACCAATAGGTCTCCAGCCTAACCAAAATTGAAATATTATCCATATTTTAATGGAAGTGAAATAGTCCTCCATAATGAATTAAACATGGATAATCATAACAAAATAAATACAATATGGGCATAATATGGCACTTTCTGTACAATATGTGTGGAAGAGGACATACGAATAGTGTATGGCTCTAGAAATATTGTCCAACCACAGTTAACTATTATAAATACAATACCCAAACGCACAGGAATTGTTTATATTTTCAAGCACACAAGCACATCCTAACCATCAGCAATGAGTAACTTGCTATAGAACCCAGCTTGGTAGCCAACCTCTGACATTCCAAAATATCATTTAACTATGAGAAGACTTATATTACCACTTTTATACCTTCAGAAAACAAATAAACACCAATCAATTATGAAAATACAGATGAATTAACCCTTTTACCCGCATTGGATCCCTTTTACTCTTCAACCAAGCTACCCTTCTTTGTTTTTATTCAAAGACATTCTATTTACCCCTCTATCTATTTCTAGGCCTTTATCTTAACTTTTTATGATTGTTGGTAGTTTCTTTTGATTTTCTCTATAGCTAGTGTCATATGGGTTTAATGCTTTGTCATCTTTAACTTATTCGATGAAGTGCAGGATAATGCTTTTATTTAACCTTGGCAAAAGGGAAAAGACACTTCTTTATCTTGAGACTCTTAGGTAAACAAATATATTTCAGTTTTGTTTTAGAATGAACTCGGTCAAGGATGGCAAATACCAATCATTTTCCATTCTCAGGTTTCTCCTTATGCGACAGTCTATCACTTCTCATTTTTCTGGGATGTCTGTTATTCCTTATTTACATCTTTTTCGTTCCTTTTTTATATTTGTTGGTGCACAATTCACAATATCTCGTATTTGTCATTGGCTTTTGTTATAATATACACATATACAGGAGGTATAATTGAAGTTCTTTGAATTATTCGACATAATTTCAATTTATCGTTTGTTCAAAAATGCTCTTTTACTAAATGTTTTGGTATCCATTTAGTGTTGGAGATCTACTAAATATTTACGACACGCAACATAAAATCCCTCAAGATAGCACCAATTAGAGAAGAGATCGTATAATCTCCCATGTCAATACTCTTATCAATTTGAAACATTTGCAAGTTCAAGTTATATACGTGCATAAAATTTCTCCTCTCTTCTAGTAATTCAGAAACTTGATGTAAGCACATGAACCATGCAGCTATTTCCAAAGCAATTTTCGCTAATCGCATTGACTTAAAGTTACCAGGAGTTCGAACAAGCAAGAACACCAAAGTGGCAAACCATTAAAAGAGAGAAATGCAAATAATGAAGTCGTAAACATATCAATCAAATAGGAGACTCAACACAACCTCCGCGTAGGAGCAACTATGACTATTCAATCCAGTAACTTTGAAACGCTAATATGAAACTAAAATACGCAAACTTCACTGCATTTAGCAACAAATCAAACAGAAATTCAAGGATAAAATCTGACCAAAAGCTTCATTGCTCACCTGTTAGGCTGAGTGTTTCTTTTCCATGTTCTCCACTTGATTCTCCCTTAATCCTGATAAAAGAAAAGAAATGCAATACCTGAAGAATATATAAAAGAAGAGGAAGAGAGAGATAGAGGGTAAAAGAAAGAGAGATATTGATAGACAATAACAGATATCACTGAATGTGAAAGAAATTAGTAAATGATAATTTTACTGAAAGTGAAATGAAAGACTGTCATTTTACTTACCGGCTACGAACTTGTAAAAGCATGACTATAAAGTAAAATATATGTTGTTTGGATGTGACTTTGTGTTTGGACAAGAAGCTTCCTAAATATTTTAGGATCAATTCTCCGTTTTCATAATTCTTGCCTACAAGTTCATTTTAGTTTATACAGTTCTGCCACTTAAAACAAAACAGAGGTTTTAGACAAATAAATTTTAAATTTAGAAATTGGGTAAACAATGCTTAAACTACATTTGGAATTGCTCAGTAGTTATTACTTTTCTTGCTTTTATCCACTTTTTTAACTGAGACAATGAAATCTGCACATCAAAATAAAAACGCTTTTCAGGACATTCAAAGTAGATAAAATACATTAACAAACTCAGAACATGTAAACTAAATGGTTCCTTGATTCTAATTTGATCAGAAAAAATATTCTCTGCCATACACAAATTCAACTTAAACATTCGATTGAATAGACTAATTAATTTGAATTTAAGGGGATATTTTAACTCAATTATTTGACAAGAGTAGGTTGCTCTAGTGGTGAGCACCCTCCACTTCCAACCAAGAGGTTGTGAGTTCGAGTCACCCCTGAGGAGTTCTTGGAGAGAGGGAGCCGATGGTCTATCGGAAACAACCTCTCTAACCTAGATAGGGGTACACTATCCTCCCCAGACCCAGACCCACTAGTGGATTATACTGGGTTGTTATTGTTGTTGTTATATTTTAACTCAATTATTTAATGGTTAGAAAAAAAAAGATATTTAGAAATTAAAATCCACTCTTTGAGTAATAGTAGGATTTTTGGAATGGCTTGAATTTTATAACTTTCGTCCCAATAACTAAAACACAGAAATATAATAACAGACACACAATTAAAATTGAAAACATGCGAGTTGGAATGAATTGCTAGCAAGCATATTTTTCATCTTCTCGAATCTATCGTGTACAGGGCTCAACTACAAAAAAGATCAAATAGCTCAAGGCCATCAACTCAATCATAGTAGCTAAAACTATCCATTCCCAGATTTAAATATGAGAAGCGAGAAATAAGGCCAAGAAACGCATACCATTTTCAGAGTTTCACCAAATCTTGATTATGGCCGAAGATGAATTAATCGGTGAATCTCCACGATTTTGTGTGCTTGCCAGAAAGTCTTTGATGCCATAGAGTCAGGAACTTTGTATAGAAATGATTATACATGACAAAACATGCCAAAAAATTAACCGAACTAACAAAGTAAATAGAAGAGAGGATGCTAAAACTCAAGAGCAATTAACAGAACTAATAAAGGTAGAGGGAGTTCTAACCAAATAAGATAGGGAGGATGCTAGAGTAGGAGAGAGAAGTGGAGAAGTGATACGTGGCTGTTCAGGTCGACGGACACGTTGCTTAGGTAATTATATTGAAAAGACATATATGCCCTCAGCTAGAAAGGTTTTGACATGAAGCAGCCACGTCGAAACTCTTTCTCTTCTAATATATAGTAAATGTTATGAAAATAATTATATTATGGATGTTCATTTATTACTCTGCTATAGATTATCCATTTAGTACTCTGTTGAAGTTTATCTACAAGCAACTGATGCGGGCAGGTTGCAAGCAGCTCAATGAAATGATTTGCAGCAACTTCTTATTAAACATGCAGGTTGCAAACAGTTCATGCAGACAACTTACAAGCAGCTAAAGAAAAGCCTTGCAGTTACTTCGTGAAAAGCCTCGCAGCTGCTTCATTTCTTCTATAAATAGAGGAGTTTTCAGTTCATTATGTACATAAGTTTGAAGTTTGAATAATATATCAGTTTCTCTCTATACTTGTCTTTACTTTACAGTTTTTATTTTATAACACGTTATCAGCACGAGACTCTGCCATCTCGAGAAAATACTTTGAAAGTATCAGAGGTACGAACTTTCTTTTTCTAAATAATGTCAAATCTTTCTAAACTTGAGTTTGTAGCCCTGGATATATCGGGCAAAAGCTACATGTCTTGGGTGTTTGATGCCGAAATTCATCTTGATGCGATGGGTCTGACAGACACCATCAAAGATAAAAATCAGGCATCAAACCAAGGCCGTGCCAAAGCAATGATATTCCTATGCCATCACCTTGATGAGGGCCTGAAAATGAAATATATTATTGTTAAAGATCCAGTCATACTGTGGAATAATTTGAAAGATAGATATGACCACCTGAAGATGGTCGTTCTTCCACAGGCACGTTATGATTGGACTCATCTAAGACTACAATATTTTTAAATCTATCAGTGAGTATAATTCTGCTATGTTCAGAATTATTTCCCAATTGAAATTATGTGGTGATAATATTACTGATCATGATATGTTGGAGAAAACTTTCACCACTTTTCATGCCTCGAATATGCTCCTGCAGCAGCAATATCGAGAGATGGGATTCAAAAAGTATTCTGAACTTATCTCACATCTTCTTGTAGCCGAGCAACATAATGGGCTATTAATGAAAAACCATGAAAGCCGACCTACTAGTTCTTGTCCATTCCCTGAAGTGAATGAGACGAACTTCCACCAAGCTAAGCGTGGAAGAGGACGTGGCCCCAGTCGTGGTCATGGCCGTGGTCGGGGAGGAAACTCTAATCATGGTAATAACAATGCACCAAAGAACCCTCCTCACCTCCAGCAGTGTAAAAGGAAGGAACAAAAGCATGAAGCGGTGCAAGAAGCAAAGCCAAAAAATACATGCTATAGATGTGGAGGAAAAGGGCACTGGTCACGTACATGTCGTATGCCAAAGCACCTGGTTGAGTTGTATCAAGCCTCCTTGAAGAAGACAGAGAAAAATACTGAATCAAATTTTATTTCTGAAGATAATTTAGACTTCATGCATTTAGATGCAGCTGATTATTTTGCACTCCCAGGAGAAGAAACAAGTCATGTGATCGGTAGTAAATCTGTAGAAATGTAAATTTTAATTTTTGTTGTTTGTAGTAGATAGTATGGTTATGTAATTGTTGTACATAAATAAAAGTTATGCTTTGATAATAATATTTACTGTCATATTTATTTTGTTTATGTCATTTTGAAGAATATGGATAATCCTCAAATTATGTTTGGATCAAAGACCAATCATGAAGATATTTGTGTAATTGATAGTGGAACAACTCATGCCATATTCAAAGATCAGAAATACTTTTCTTATTTGCATAAGGAAAAAGCAAATGTTTCAACAATTTCTGGTAATATAAGTTTGATTGAAGGCTCTGGAAGAGCCATAATATTTCTGTCTAAGGGAACAAAACTTATTATAGACAATGCATTGTTCTCCTCCAAGTCCCGAAGAAACTTGTTGAGTTTTATAGATATCCGCCGAAATGGGTATCATGTAGAGACAATAGATGAAATGAACAGGGAATATCTTTGTATTACAAAGAATATTTCTGGCCAGAAATGCATTGTAGAAAAGTTACCAACTTTATCTTCTGGCTTATACTATTCAAAGATTAGTACAGTTGAAGCACACTCTATCGTAAACCAGAAGTTTACTGATTCAAATACTTTTGTGCTTTGGCATGGCCGTTTGGACCATCCTAGATCAATAATAATGAGACGAATTATTGAAAATTCGAGTGGGCATCCAAAAAAGAACCTGAAGATTCTTACAAATGATGAATTTTCTTGTGATGCTTGTTATCAAGGCAAAATAATCACTAGACCATCACCAATGAAGGTTGGCATTGAGTCCCCTACCTTTTTAGAACGTATACATGGGGATATATGTGGACCTACCAAGTGGGTTGTTTAAATATTTTATGGTCCTAATAGATGCATCTTCAAGATGGTCTCATGTTTGCCTACTATCATCTCGCAACCTGGCGTTTGCAAAGTTATTAGCCCAAATAATTCGATTAAGGGCACAATTCCCAGATTATCCTATAAAGGCTATTCGCCTTGATAATGCTGGAGAATTCTCATCTCAAGCTTTTGATAATTACTGTCTATCAGTTAGAATAAAAGTTGAACATCCTTTAGATTATGTTCATACTCAAAATGGCCTTACAGAGTCATTTATTAAATGACTGCAATTGATAGCAAGACCACTACTTATGAAAACAAAATTGCCCACTACTGTTTGGGGCCATGCTATCTTGCATGCAGCATCACTTATCCGTCTCAGACCGACACATTATAATAAATATTCTCCGTCACAATTAGTTTTTGGTCATGAACCAAATATTGCCCATCTACGAATTTTTGGATGTGCTGTATATGTGCTAGTAGCACCACCACAGCACAGTAAGATGGCCCCCCAAAGAAGGTTAGGAATATATATTGGGTTTGAATCACCCTCTATTATTCACTAACTTGAACCATTGACGGAAGATTTATTTACTGCTCGATTTGCAGATTGTCGATTTGATGAAACAAATTTTCCACAATTAGGGGGAGAGAAAAAGGAAATCAAAAGAGAAATTGTGTGGAAAGTTTCATCATTATCTCATTTTGATCCACATACCCCTATATGTAATCAGGAAGTCCAGAAGATCATCTATTTATAAAATATAGCAAATCAAATGCCAGACGCGTTTACTGATTTGAAAAGGATAACTAAGTCACATATCCCTGCAGAGAATGTGCCTATACGAAATGATGTCCCAGCAGGACCATCTACTAGCATAAGAACTAGTGAACCTAAAGTACGCTTGAAGCGTGGTAGGCCTTTGGATTCTAAGGATCGAAATCCTAGAAAAAGAAAATCGACAAATGATCAAAATGATATTATGAAGGGATCTCCTGAAGAGACCCAAGATCTGATTAGTTCTGAGATTCCTGAAAAATTAATGAACCCGAGACTCAAGTGAGTGAGGAACAATTAATAAGTTCTAGTGGTGATGGGATTAATTTAAATCGATCTGAAATAGTGGTGGATAATATTTTTGCATATAATGTTGCACTTAACATTATGCAAGATAGTGAGGATTGTGAACCCCGATCTGTCGAACAATTTCAACAAAGATCTGATTGGCCAAAATGGCAAGGGGCAATTCAATCAGAATTGAATGCACTTGATAAAACAGAGGTCTTTGGACCAGTAGTCCAAACACCTGCTGGTGTAAAACTAGTTGGTCATAAATGGGTTTTTGTGCGAAAAAAAATGACCAAAATGAAGTTGAAAGATACATGGCTCGCCTTGTCACATAAGGATTCTCACAACGACCTGGAGTCGATTATGAAGAAACATATTCACCAGTTATGGATGCCATAACATTTAGATATCTCATCAGTTTAGTCTTACGTGAAAGACTTGAAATACATATGATGGATATGGTTACAACTTATCTGTACGGGTCACTTGATAATGAGATTTACATGAAAATACCTGAAGGATTTAAAATGCCTGAAACATATTCGAAATCTTGGGAAATGTGTTCAATCAGATTACAAAGATCTTTGTACGGTTTAAAGCAATCTGGGCGCATGTGGTATAATCGCCTTAGTGAATATTTACTGAAAGAGGGTTACATAAATGATGTTATTTGTCCATGTATTTTTATAAATAAAATGACATCAGAATTTGTTATACTTGCTGTTTATGTTGATGACATAAATCTTGTTGGAACTCCAGAAGATCTCTAAAAGGCAATTGAATATCTTAAGAAAGAATTTGAGATGAAAGAACTTGGAAAAACAAAACTTTGTCTTGGATTGCAAATTAAACATTTAGCAAACGGGATCTTTATGCATCAATCTGCCTATACAGAAAGGGTCTTAAAACGCTTTTACATGGACAAAGCGCACCCATTGAGTACACTAATGGTTGTTCGATCACTTGAAGTGAATAAGGACCCGTTCCGACCTCCAAAAGAGGATGGGGAACTCCTTGGTCCTGAAACACCCTATCTCAGTGCAATTGGTGCACTTATGTATCTTGCTAATGCTACAAGGCCTGACATAGCATTTTCTGTTAATTTACTAGCAAGATATAGCTTTTCTCCTACTCGGAGACATTGGAATGGGATTAAGAATATTTTGCGATATTTAAAGGGAACTCTTGATATGAGTTTGTTTTATGTTAACAAAGGTAGTGCAGATCTTGTTGGTTATGCAGATGCAGGTTATTTATCCGATCCCCATAAAGCTCGATCCCAAATCGGGTACGTGTTTACATGTGGAGGTACTGTCATATCATGGCGCTCCACATAGCAGTCAATTGTTGCTACTTCTTCAAATCAAGCTGAGATAATAGCTATTCATGAAGCAAGTAGGGAATGCGTATGGTTGAGATCAGTGATTCATTTTATTCAAGAAAAATGTGGTTTA